GTGATAGATGAATCCGAAAGCCTTGGTACATTGTTCACCAAGTATGATGAGACGAGTGTATACTACATTCGGCACAGAGCACGGCAGGAAGCCAAAAAGGCCTTTGTTCACTTAGAGACTTCCCGCAAAGTGGCCAAAGCGTTACAGCGTAATGCAGCCCCTCTAGACACTGACTATAAGGGTGGTGATTTAGTTATTTACCGTCGGGATAACGTCCCTGGCAGCCCAGGTGTCGTGTGGTCCACGGTTAGCCGCGTCATAGGACGTGAGGCAGAGAATGCGTACTGGGTATTACACGAGAATATCCCTGTACTTGTGAACGCTAGGAAGATGCGCCCGGATGATGAAATTGAAGTTGCAGCGCATCGCGTTTTGGCAGGAGAACCAGTGCTTCCGGAAGCCATTGTTCATGGACCGGAACAAAGGTTCCAGGATGAGCGCGTAGCAGACCCGGTCACAGCACCAGCGACGCCACGTCCAGTGGCTGCAGCTGCCCCGCTTACACCGGCAGTCGCGCACGATGTGTCTATGCCAGCACCATCGACGCCAGCGATGATGCCCGGCACACCGAGGCCAGCGCCATCTACACCTGCAAGGTTTCGCGCCAAAGATAAGACGGGCGAAACCGCCCGGTCGCGATCACCAGTAGGAGGCCGTGATGATGCACTAGTTGCGGAAGAGATTGATCAAGTAGAGATCATGGCAAAAGGCCTGATAGATGCTCAGGGTTTTTCTCCGGATGAGTGTCTGGCCCTCCTTCGTGCTTATGACCGCGACCGACGCGAGGCTTACACGCGTCCGCTCCTAGATGATGGAGATCCCGGATGCATAGCCCTCGCGGTGGGAGTATATCGGCACGGTGGTCTTGTTGGAGTTTCTGGACCAACGCGCGAGAGACCGTCGTTTGCCATGTACCTCAACCACTACATCTTGCATCACAGTATGCAAGCCGGTCATCACCTCCCACAGTGGAGTAGCGTTCAGCTTACCAACAGAGGCGCAGAGGCCCATAGAGACCTAGCGAACACTCCTGGCTCGCATAACTACACTATCGGTGTGGGCGAGTATCGTGGAGGCGGTCTATGGGTGGAAGAAGCCACGGGTACAACCCCCGTGCGTGTTCAAAACACGACAATGTATGGCACCGTCCACGATACTAAGAACAAGGTTCTTAAGTTTCGCCCGAAGGACGTGCACATGGTCGCACCGTATGTAGGAGAACGATACAGTCTCTCCGCATACACGGTGAGTGATCTCGGCAAGTTGTCTAAAGATGACATACAGCTTTTGTCGGACTTAGGCTATCCCATATATAGGGATGCGCCCAATACCTTTGGCAGGAAAGGTGATGGGATATACACCATGGGTCACTCTGATCTTCCCATCGAGACGTTTCTAGAACGCATCCATGAGTACGGGATTAAGGAAATCATAGATTGCAGGAGCCATCCGTACAGCGTTCGGCATCCACAATACAATTGTGATGAGCTTTCAGCCACATGCTTTGCAAAAGGAGTTGTGTACAGTCACGCCCCCGAGTTAGGCAACAGGAATCGGGGCGGGATTGAAGCCAATCTGCAAACAGACCAAGGACTCTGTACGATCGCTAGAATAATTAGCGAGGCCCACGATGACTTCCACCGAATACTTCTGTTGTGTTCGGAGGCCAGTTGGCGGCGATGCCATCGGCGAAATATCGCCCAGCACATATGGCTCGAGCATTCGAAACTTGCCGAGCACATACGTGCTAACGGACTGCCAGAAGCCCATCCGTGTCACTACCTCCCTGAGGAAGACGACGGACTGGCAACAGCATCGCACACAGCTGCGATTGGCACGACTGTGCCAGCAGCTGAGCCCTCGGATAGTCGAGCGGCGGAATCCAAGGCCTTTGCTCTCACCCCAGATGGGGAAGACGCCATCGGCTCTAATGTCGATGCTGGCTACATGGCCTCGCTCCTGGATTACCACAAAGCCCCTGTTGAAGTACAGCTAGGGTTGGATGCTGCCATGAAAACTGAATGGCAGAAGTACACTGAATTCAACGCAGTGGTCCCTTGCACAGACAAGGAGTTTAAGGAGCTTACAAAGGCTGGCCACGTGTGCATTCCCACCAAATGGGTCCTCACCGATAAGAATGAACACCTAAAGGGGACGCCAGCATACACTCCCAAGTGGAAAGCACGCTTGGTCGCATGTGGAAACTTCGAGCATATCTCGAATGAGGAGGATATCAGGGCAGACAGCCCCACGGCCGAGCCGGAAGGCATAGCCCTTCTGTGTTCATGGGCGGTTTCATTGGCCCTGCGGCTCAAAGCAGCCGATATAACCAACGCATACTTCCAAGGGAAACCCCTTGAGCGCCTTCTCATTCTTCGGGTTCCTAAACACCCTAAGGGTGTACCCGATGCAGAGATTCAGCGAGCCGGGCATATGATTGCCCGAGTACCCGTGTATGGCACGACCGACGCGGGTCGGAACCTTTATCTCCGTATAAAGGAGAGTGCCCGAGAATTTGGCTTAAATGCCTCGCAAATTCTGTCAGCCCTGTACTATATTACAGGAGAAGGTGGGCGTTTGTGTGCTTGCTTGTGCACCCACGTGGATGATTTCCTGTGGGCTGCTACCGCCGAAGGCGAGCCGGCTATCCAGAATCTGCTGGATAAGTTTAAGATCGGTCGCATAGAGACTGAGAAGTTCCGTTTCTGCGGACGCGAGTATGTGCAAAGCGCCGATGGGACCATCAGTATAAACTGTAGGGATAACACGCGTGCAATTCGCCCGATCGATATACATAAGTCTGAAAAGGGCACGCCTCCAGTCTCGAATGGCCAGCGCACAGCGCTGAGATCCGTCATAGGATCGCTGGCTTGGGTGGCCCGCGCCACGAGGCCTGATCTTGCCTATAGGGTGAATGCCCTGCAGCAGCGTGTTACGACAGCCACGGTGGATACGCTCCGTGAAGCAAACCGCGTAGTAGCACTGGCGTTAGGAGATGCGGATAGGCCGATCACGTACAGCGCTAAGTTACCCTGGAATACAGGGGAGCTGGCGATTGTCACGTTTTGCGATGCCTCCTTTGCAGGAGAGGCAAACCATAAGTCGCAGAGAGGTCGTTTCCACTATCTCACTTCCGCACAGTCGGCGGTGGACAAGAACGCGTCAACGCATGAGATGCACCTCATTTCGTTTTCCTCGTCCACCATGAAACGGGTTTGTCGCGCCACACTCCAGTGTGAGGCTTACTCGTTGCAACATGCGATAGAGCATGGGGACCGCATTCGAGCAGCGGTGCTCGAACTGCTCGGCAAACTGCCCCGGTCACAGAACTGGGAAGAAGTCGCCAAGAGATCGATGTTCCACCTGCAGTATACGGACTGCAGGTCCCTTTCGGATCACTTGACTGCGTCGATTCCAAAATCATGCGAGGATAAACGCCTTGCCATAGAGATGTCTGGACTCCGCCAAGGACTCTGGGAAGAGGACGAGCTAACGCACGCCTTGTACCATCCTTACGGCGACGAGTTGAGATGGATACCGACGCATTTACAACTTGCGGATTGTTTGACCAAGAGTATGAAACCGCTTTTGATCAATCACAGCATTGACCGCAATCTCGTTCAGGTGCTCGATGTGCCCGCGCAAGCCGCACAGAATGTCGAGAGTACCTAAAGCACTCCGCTTTACGATCGAAGAACTCAGCCTGGAGCCTTGAGTTGCCGCACTCGGCTCGGTTGACTGCGCAAGCTCCCGGTATAATCCGGTGGAGTAGGCTTGGCCCAAAGTGGTCATAATTCGAGCATGATTCGGACGTCACACTACAGATAAGACGGGTGTGAAATTTCCCTGTCTTGAGGTGCCGTGTTGACATGTCCTCATGCGTGGATAGTTTTTGAGACAGTTCTGAACGCACCCTGTACGACAGACGTCTTGGGCTCAGACCAAAAAGTGCGCTCGTTGTGTGGTTGGACACTCACTAATCCAGTTCCTGCTTCAAAAGTTGTGTTGCGCTTCCTGCCAACCTTGTCTCACATCGCAGCTTGACCGCTCAAGACCGACTTTACGTCAGGTCCAGCAAAAGGCCCGCTTGCACTAGGGGTAGTGTTTGTGTTTCCTTTATGCTGTGTAGTCAACCTAACGGCTCTAATCCCCGATCGTCCCGCTTTGCCTTGCTTGTTGCTTGCTCTGCTACGATCTCCGATTGGTTGCCCCTGCTATTGTGACCGAAAGTTAAGTAGATCCCTCTGCTTTTCACACCTTGTTTTGTCGTCTCGACGGCCGAAGGTCGATGATCTGTGTTCGGGATAGCTCAGCTACTTCTTGAAAGGATCACCTGCTAGCTTGGCTAGTTAGGTTCTTGAGCCAAAATTGCGTTGCATGCGGTAGCATTCACTGTCGGTCACCACGCTTGGTCCGGTATACGGGCCCAAGGTGTGCTGTGGAAAGCTAGGGATCAAGAGACGCTAAGCGAGCTCTTGTCCGCTGGTACATGACTGTTGAAGACATGTGGAAACATAGCTCAAGTCGCGATACCTACGATTGGACTAGGCATCGACGTCCGTTCGCACTACACATTTCCTAATTGGAACATTCCAACGATTTGTGAGACGTTTGGTATACCACGAATAAGCAGACTTTTGTGATGGAAAAGATGAAGCGAGGTGCAGTGATATGAATGGGTAGGTGGGTGGCAAGGAGTCACGAAGTTCCCAAAACGCGTCAAAACAGCAGCACAGCAGTACAGGACGTCAGAACCGCCCGAGTGCGGCACCTTATCACGAACGGATCCGTTGTTTTCAAAAGTGTCAAGGCTTGAACATCCATTTGATTTTATGCATGCCCTCACAAAAGACAAGCTTCCATGTGCCTTTAGCTGCTACACGAAAGAGTAGTTCCATGCTCACCCGCTGCCATCCGAAAGGCCTATGCAGGTAGGTATGGAGTTCTTGGCTGGCCTTTTATGCTTTGGCCGGCGACAAGGGAAAAAACGAACGCTACAGGAGCTTCGTGAGGATGTGGAGGCACCGAATGACCAGAGGGCCATGTTAGTGGAAGCGGCTCCGGAGTCGACGGCCAATGAGGCGCCCGTGAGTTTGGCCGCCTCATTTCTTTGGCGGCTTTCGAGACTTCTGACAGGAAGAGGAGCCCATGCCGCTGGTCCAAAACATCCAGGATGGCAGCGGGATGCAGCTCGTTTTCTGTTTGCGTTTGGCCGCCTCATTTCTTTGGCGGCTTTCGAGACCTCTGACAGGAAGAGGAGCCCATGCCGCTGGTCCAAAACATCCAGGATGGCAGCGGGATGCAGCTCGTTTTCTGTTTGCGTTTGGCCGCCTCATTTCTTTGGCGGCTTTCGAGACTTCTGACAGGAAGAGGAGCCCATGCCGCTGGTCCAAAACATCCAGGATGGCAGCGGGATGCAGCTCGTTTTCTGTTTGCGTTTGGCCGCCTCATTTCTTTGGCGGCTTTCGAGACTTCTGACAGGAAGAGGAGCCCATGCCGCTGGTCCAAAACATCCAGGATGGCAGCGGGATGCAGCTCGTTTTCTGTTTGCGTTTGGCCGCCTCATTTCTTTGGCGGCTTTCGAGACCTCTGACAGGAAGAGGAGCCCATGCCGCTGGTCCAAAACATCCAGGATGGCAGCGGGATGCAGCTCGTTTTCTGTTTGCGTTTGGCCGCCTCATTTCTTTGGCGGCTTTCGAGACTTCTGACAGGAAGAGGAGCCCATGCCGCTGGTCCAAAACATCCAGGATGGCAGCGGGATGCAGCTCGTTTTCTGTTTGCGTTTGGCCGCCTCATTTCTTTGGCGGCTTTCGAGACTTCTGACAGGAAGAGGAGCCCATGCCGCTGGTCCAAAACATCCAGGATGGCAGCGGGATGCAGCTCGTTTTCTGTTTGCGTTTGGCCGCCTCATTGCTTTGGCGGCATTCGATTTCAAGAGGCGCCCACGAAGCTGGTCGGAGTGGCGAAGGCTGGCGCAGGTTCATAACGTGTTTGCGCGCTGCTTGGAGAGAGTGAGCTGAGGATGTTTTGGGTCTTGCGGCCAGTCCCTCATTGACGTCTCTGACTCTGCTTGTTGCTTGGCTTGCTGCGCTCTCCGTACTGCTCAGGTCTGGGACGACCAGGAAGCTCGGATGAAGCTGTATGAAGCAGCGGCGAAGGAGGAGAGGCATACAAATCCGGCGACAGCAGCTTGTGATGACAGGCGGAGATACGAGATTTATTGCAAGCGTGTTGCTTTGTTTTTGCGATTGTGTGGGTCAGGTGCAAAGGCGTTCTCCAGCTGCCAACGGCGGTCCCCGAGGAGATTGTTGAAGTCCCCCTCGGTGGTAAATCTCCGATAGCAATCTTCGACGATCTGGCGAGGCCTGTTGGCTGGCGGGGCGGGGTGTTGTGGTCTCCCGGCAGTTCGCACAGCTGCATCCCGTTTACTGCTGAGAATGGACCTCGCCGAGTACCTGACACCTCGGGTGAAGTTCATCCAGAAGGAGCGTGTCCGAGATGTGGAATCTGTGGAGTGCTTCCCCACCTCACCATCAACCCAACAAGCCTTGCTCCCCAGATTTTGATGCCAGGAGCTTCATCACATTGCAGTCCATTATTGGATGAAGCACTCCTGGAAACACATTGTTCGACTGCTTCCTGGGTATGGCTAGAGACTCAGATGCTTTGAGTTTCGGTCCTTCCAAGATGTTGCTGCCATGTGCTGCAACAGGCATGGAATTTTGTAGCGGGAAGAACCCGACGAAGCCGGGCTTCTGGGTCGTGAAAGCGCGCGACGGCGACAAAAAGACAAAGCATTTACCAGAAACCCAAGTGCCAGCTGTTTGGAGGCGCGAGCAGGGCGGGCTGCCAAGGCCGTCGGCCGCTGCCGTTTGGAGACTCTGCCTCTGGCAAGGTACTTCCGCACGGAGCACCTCGTGGAGCTTTCGGCTCTGAAGCTCGTGATCTACATCCTGGACAGCCTCTACGACAGTAACAAGACCCTTCCGGGAAGCAGTCAGAGCCTCAGCACTTCTTTTGCCATTGCAGTACAGCTCCTTTGCCGCTCGCTTGTGCTGGGACCTTAGATTTGCGGATAAGCCACGGCGACCACGTCCTGCCCTCACGCGAGCTGCACAGCGAGCACATCGGAGCGTTCTGAGCGTTCTCTGAGGTGCTGGGAGTACTCGAGATCGGGGGCGAGCCGTTCAGAGAGCAACCTGTGGAGGAGTTCCGACAGTGGCTCTACCGGCAAGTCTTCCGGCTGCTTCACCTTCAAAGACCCTTCTGTCCTGAGATTTTCCTGGGACTGAAGAGACTGAGCGAACAGGAGCAGCGCGTGTATCCGGATGTTTCAATGTACTTGGATTCCAATCGCTTGCCGCCGGTATTCACTCACGACATCAAGGGTGTTCTGATGAGTTTTGGCTTTGCTGTCGTGCAACGACTTGCAGAGGAAAGGCGAGACGATGCGTGGGATTCAGCATTGAAACTCTTTGGTTCATGCAGTGATCTCCTGATACTCCTGGTTGGCATCCTCTTCAACCCGGACGTCCTTGTTTGGGTGCTAAAGCAGCTACAAGAAAAGAAAAAACTGAGGCTTCAAGATCTTCAAGGCGATGCGAAGAGCTTCAGCGCGCAGCTGATGCGTGTTCTCAGGCCACCGGCCCTGCGATGGTCAAATGGCAGCGGAGAAGAGATCTTTAGAGCCTTCAAAGTGAACACCCCGCCGCTTGCTGGGCCGTCTCCGGTGACCTTGAGTCCACTCTTGGAGAAGTTGAGCCCGAAACCAGACCCCTCCCAAGTGCCCGAGCTCCTTTACATCCACGTCGAGGGAGATGTTGCCCGCTGGCACAAGGAGATTTTGTTGGAGGACTTCGAGATGATTTTCGCCGGGCGGGACGGGAGTGAAGAGAAGCACCGCTACCGCATAGTCTCCGGTGCCTCGCCGCAGCCCTCGCAGCCCTTCTTCGTCCACGACGGAGACGTCTACGGGGACGTCGATGGGCTCCCAACGGCCACGCTGCTCTGGGCTGTCCGCGTCCGCGAGGCCCCTGGCGGCGAGGCCCCTGGCGGCGGAGGCGCCGGCGCCTCTCAGTGAGGCGCAGGGCCCCTTTTTTCCAATCGCTTGCAGGAAGACAGAGTGCGACGGTTAGAGCACTGCGAACCTGAGCATGTCTTCATAATTAATTGCAGCTCCGCTCACGTTGGATCTGCCAAGGAATTATTGCTGCACAGTTGCATGACATGCTGTATCATGCTTTGAAAGCCCGCGACTGGCGATGCACCATGCACAGCTGGCGGTCGAGGGCGATTTTTCCCCGATTTCATTGTTGCTTGAGTAGCGGCGCCTTGGTGCTCAGTGCAAAAAGTTGCTGTCCCGACCTGATTTTTCCGATTCAAGAGTTCGCTTGGGGAGATCGGGAAAAGGCGGCTGGCATGACATCAAAGCACCATCCCCCAGTTCGGTGCTACGTTGCGGGCTTGGGGCTGGCCCGTCGTTAGCCCCGATGCCGCAGCCATCTGCTGCTGTGGGCCGCTTCCAAGAACGTTGTTAGACGACAGACTCCGATAGACCCTAGAACGAGCCAAAACCTACCAAAGCCGAACACTCAGCTCCAAATGCCTACGTAATTTTGCCAATGCCGTTGGCCTCTCTGCCTGTCGCGGACCGCTCTAGCTCTGGTGCCTCAAGTACCTGGCCATGCAGACTCATCCGGACAAGCACCCGGAAAACACTGCCTTGGCGTGGCGCTCAAGTGTTAATCAATGTTAATCTGGAGCAACAACATGTCATGGACTACGCGGGCAAGGTTTCAAGAGTTGGCAGCTGCGTACAAGGCCAGCCCTAGTTGAACAGATCCATTGTAGCATGGGGCAGAGGTATAGCTGGCCACTTCTGATCCCACATGACTGCTCGCCAGGTGGTCACCCTGAGCACTCAGGACACAACTCTGCCTTAGCCGTAGCAGCGCTGCATTGTCATTGTGCTTCCTCTGGTTCGCTGCTCCTCGAAACAGGCCAGTTCTCACCATCGTCTCGGCCGAGTCGCCTATCAGTTCTGATATGCGGATCAAGGCGCCATTTCTAGACGGTCTTCCATCGGGGTGAAATGACCGCTTCCGAGATCTCACTCTGTCTCGTTCAGAAGCACCTGCTCTCATGCCACGAGTATCAGAATAGCTTGTTCGATTGGAAGGTGAAGATGGACGAGCCAGGAACAGTGCGTGCCCCGATGCCGCCAATTTCCATGGTGTTGTCATCCCGGAAGCTGTTTTGACCCCAGCGGCGCCCAGGTGTACTGCAACTCATTCCAATCGTCAACAGCCTATGGCACGCCAACCTTTGCATCTGCCACGAGCCTCAGGGGCGGGGCGAAGAAATTTAAGCCACTTTAAGATAAGCCGCGACGGTGGTGCTTTGGATGACTCAGGTTGCTGGTGGCGGCTTTCAGTCGTATGTTGGCTTCCCACTGCTCTCGCCAAGCCCTCAGCACCCGGCGGCGTAGGCATGCACTGGAGCTCGGCTCCTCTACCCTCTGCCCTGCTTTCGGGTGATATGTGATACGTGCCGGCCGAACAGTCCAGTGAACACCAATGTGGAGGTTGTCGTCTCTGGCTTGAATGAGTTGACACTTTACGACATGTGCGCCGTCCGAGCTTTCCCACAGTTTCGACGAGAGGTTGTTTGATGCCATTGACATTCAAACCCAACTTTGGTTGAGAGCTGCCTTTGCATTGAAATCCGGCCTGAACACCATCTTCCTCACCTAGACGTACTCTACCCAGAGTGGATATCGCGAATTAGACAGTGAAATCTACCTCCTGCATACATTGGAGTCTATGTGCAAGTCGGGGCTTTGGGCGAGGTACTGAGCAGCGGTTGACGCTTCCACCCTGCCGACGGTCAACCAGATGACACAGGCCACATCGTCTTGCTAGTTTGTCCGCGCAACTGTGCTACTGCATTGGAAGTGTGTCGATTCCGCACATGAAACACCGGTCGAATTAGATGGCACCCTGCTGGCAAGAAGATGATCAAGCTTTCGCTTGTCCAGGCTTCGATTCTGAGCACCTTCCCAGCCATGGGTGTGGGCCTCGCTTGGGGCTGTTGCTGCTGATGATGTCAGAGCAGAGTCCAGGGGCCTTCCAATATACAGGGTCGCTTCAGTGTATAAGTTCCTTGTCAATAGGTTTCCATGGGGAATGGAGTAACACATTAGAGGGTCTGTAATGTGTCAGGTCGCTGTGTCCAGGAGCCTTCCAAAGTAGGATTTTCCTTGTCAATATACTTTCAATAGAAGGGATGAAGTGACACATTAGAGGGCTTGTAATGTGTTAATTCGTTATGCCCAAGTCAATAGAGTTTGAACAGGGGAAGTGGAGTAACACTTTACAGGGCATGTAATGTGCCAATCTGTTATGTCCTGGACCTTCACGCAGGACACCACCCCTCTCTCCCACTCCGGGCCTGGCTTCTTGCTTCCTAGAGCGCTTGCAAAACAAACAAGGTCGACCATTGTTTCTACCGGAAGATCGTGACTCAGAAGGCCGTTAATGGAGAGCCGCCATGTCAAGTTGCGCACTATGCCAACGCACTTCGCTGGCTGAAATCTGGCTTTCCTCGGCCATGGTATCCGGGAGGATGCGTTGCTCACACGCCAAAGCGTAAAGGAGCAGATAGCACGCAAAAACATGTTCATTCACACGCTTTGCTGCCTGCGATATACCAGCCATTGCCAAAAACGCAACTCGTGCATCAGGCGGACCGTGGAATTCAGCGGGAAGCAATGCAATGTTCCCGGAGTCTGGGCTGAAGTTACTTGCGTAGTCAGTGATAACTAGCCAACCAGTCTCTGGCACAATGTACACGTCAGATGTGTGACAGTCAAAAAGTGGAAAACTCTGGTCGTTGAGATATAGGACCACTCTGGCCAAGAAACTCAAACTGTCGTGCAAAAAGCCTGCTGACCGCAAGTGGTAATGCTCGAGGAACAAGTCATGGGAGGCCCTAGAAGTTGCCGGTAAAAGTTGCCAGACCGTGTATGCATTTGCGAAACTCCAGCTCCAACCAAGGAATTGGCAAAGATGCTCATGGGCTAATCTTGAAGCATGTCGGCCATCTTTGGCTACTTCATACTCTGCGCGGCCAAGGCCTAAACAACAGTCACGTCGCGCCGTTTTCACTGCCACTTGGGCTCCGTCCTTCAATGTGGCCATCGACACTGGGCCAAACATGCCCTGCCCAAGCTGAGCGCCAATACGCGGTGTCATGAGCCGTGGCAGAGACCATAAGAAGTCCACGCACGCTGGCATGGCGATGACGTCCACATTCACCGGGCTCAGGAAATTTAGAGCTGCTTGCCTCCGCTGGTGATCCTGGTACCAGCCGTGGCAACCTATCGCGGCAGCCCCAAGCGCAGACAGCGGCAAAGACCAGTCCAGGTTAGTGACAGTGCTGGCCACATGAGCGAGCAATGCTTCCAACCACATTGTGAAACTGCGGCCTCTGACAGCAAGCTTGATTGATGTCATACACATTGGTTTTTGTATGTCTGGCATGGGCCTAGGGCATGTGCTTTCGGCACTGTGTTGCCAACGGGTATTTTGGACTGCTGAGTTGACATGACAAGGATAGTGCACCCTGGAGCCAAATGTGGGGTCGTCAAAACATCCGTAGATTCGTGGAAACACCGCGATGCGTTAGGGCTCTAGGCTATGCTGGCGTTCGTTGTGTGCGTTTGGTTGAAGAGTCATTGCCAAGACCTGCTCCAAACAGGATTGAGATGATCGGTAGGCGTAAGAAACCCCAAGCCCAAAAATGCAGGTTGTTGACAAAAATTTAAGAACTGAAAGCAATTCTTGTGTGACATTCTAGTTTCAATACACACTGATCTGGGAGCGCCAAGAGAACACGCAAGCTTCGGGTTTAGGGTGCCTGAAATGCCTTTCCCACGAGGTCCTACTTTAAGATTGTAGTTATGTGGACATTTTCCACATGATCCCTGTATACAGTACTCCTTGCTTGAGACCGGTTCACTTGTAGCCAGTAGTCCTGCTTGTTGGGAGGCTAGTGGCAATTGGCCCTTCGAGCTTCATCAAACTTAAATCTGAGGAAAATCTTGAAAAGGGCACACTCCTCAAGGTCGTGTTTTGGAATACAGTGTTATAGAAATTGGGTACATGTAGGCTGGGGACTAGGGTTTTCTAGTAGGGGCGCATTTCCCAATTCAGGTTAGGATGTTGGGTATTTTATCAATAAGGTTATAGATCGTTTAGGTGGCTGTGGTTTAGGTGTAGTGGTATAAGGTTGGTTTTAGGATGCTGGTTTAATGATGGGGTAAAAGCGTAGGGTGGGGGTGAGGGTGTGGACGTGGGATGAACTGGGAAATGACCTTTGCTAGCTTTTAGAACCGAGGGTCAATCGGAGTGGGTGGAGTGACACATTAGGGTGCCTGTAATATGTCAATTTGATATGCCCAGGTACAGGGGCCTGACAGTGTATAAGTTCCTTGTTAGTAGGGTTTCAGTAGGAGAAATGGAGTGACACATTAGAGGGCATGTAATATGTCAATTTGCCCAGTCCACGACCCAGGAAGTGAAGATACACATTATAGTGGGTTTAATGTGCCAGTTTGTTATGTCCATAAAAAGTGCTTTCCGATGTATCAATTTTTTATCAGTAGGGTTTCAATAGGATAGGTGGAGCGACACATTATAGGGCCTGCAGTATGTCAGTTTATTATGTCCAGGGGTTTTCTAGTGGAAAAGTTCCATTGCAATAGAGGTTTGAAGATTCTCTGGTTCATCATGAAGGTTCGGATTGTGCTGAGCGTCAGCGGCCATGCTAATCTTCTGCAGTATCGTTCCAGTCAAAGCAGAGAACGGGGTCGCAACACCATGGGCTTAGCGCCAAAGCTCTTTTCGCACAACAACTCACATGTCAAGTGACTGTCCTCTGGACTAGTGCTTAAGCCTTCTAGATCTAGGCTTAAGAGAGACACGTTCATGCTGGCTTCTGCCGATCATGGCGGAGCTCAGCTCCGCCTTCGAGCCGTCAGGGCTCGCCGGAGAAGTGCTGGCCTGGGCGGGCTTAACACTC